GCCCGCCCTTAACAGGAAAACCCCTCCAAAAAAAAAAAAAAAAAAAAAGTTAAAAGTAAGAGAGATGAACACATTCCCTGATGGGCAAAAGCTGAGGGAGCTAGTTACTGATACACCTGCCCGGCTAGAAACACTCAAGGAGTCCTGCAGGATGGCATCAAAAGACAACAGACAGCGACTGGACTCTGTGTTAATAATGATCTTGGGGCCAGCAGGTGGCATGGTGGGTACAACACTGGATTCCTACCTGGCTAACCATGGTTTGAGTCTGGGACCTGATGGCTTGCTATTTCACTTTCCCTCTCTGGCAAATTGAAAATAATATAATTAAGTAATTAAAAAGTATATATATATCTCAGTAAAGAGCTTTCATGGTGAGCAGCTCACAAAGGAGAAAGTACTTTTTTTTTTTTTTTGGAGAGATTTTCGCTACAGGGTGCGTGCGCTTGCAAGAAAGACAGAGAGAGACAGAGAGACAGAAAACGAGAAATCACCCCCCAGGGGGGATGGTCACGCCGAAATCCCTTCTCCTCCATTCTCCTCTCAGGATCTTGGGCACGCATGCACACGCGCCCGGCGTGAGTTTAAGCCACCAGGTCCAGGACTCAAACCACAGTTGAATAAATGGGAGTCCAGCAACATAGCCATTATGCCAATTGCTGGTCCCAAGAGAATGTACTTTAACATGTTAAAATGACTCCAAAGATGGGGCCAGCAGGTGGCATGGTGGTTAAGGCACTGGACACTCCCACATGGCCAACCATGGTTTGAGTCCTGTACCTGGTGGCTTGCTTTCTCACCTTCACTCTCTCTCTGGTCAAATTAAATTCATGAATAAATAAAAATTAAATAAATAATCCTTTAAAAAAAATCACTCGGAAGAATTATAATTAAAGATACAAACTTTAGGAGCCAGCGGGTGGCATGGTGATTAAGTTGCTGGACTCCCACATGGCCGACCACACTTCCAGTTCCACACCTGGTGGCTTGCTTTCTCTTTCTCTGTATCTATCTCTCTCTGGTGAGTGCACATGCCCTGTAGCAAATTTTAAAAAAGATAATAAAATTCTTTAAAAAATACAAATATCTGATAATACTTCAAGAAAACAGACCTTAATTATTTGAATTTTATGTTAAAACACTTTTAAGTTCTTGAGAAATGAAAACCCATGTGATAAATTACTGCCTCTATAGGAACTGTAAAAATGATAAGTTTGCAGAATTCTTTTTTTCTAAATGAGAAAAAAAGCAGTAAAATTTGTTTTAAGAAAAAAAAAAAAAGTGAACCAGCAGAGATAGCCAAGTGCCCTGAACACAGAGGCGTCGGCCAGGCCATCTAGGTCAGGTGGGAGGCAGGACAGTAAGCCTCCCACTGGGACGAAGTGGGCACCTAGGCTGAAGTGAGGAGGGCGAGGGCCTGAGACAGCCCCGACTCACGTGATGCCGATTTCCTTCAGGTCGCTCTCGGTGAGGGTCAGGAAAATGCGGAGGTCTACATCCTGCTCCTCGAACACTCGCAGGTACTTGAGACACCCAATCTGCTCCAGCAGCGTAGCAAGGTCCTACGGGGGGAGAAGACAGGAGAGTACAAAAGCCTTGGGGCCAAGGGGAAGCAGGGGCTCTGCAGGTCGTGTGGCTCCTTGCTCAACACTGTTCCTGCAGTCCCTCGCACGCTGAGTGCCACTCACTCCCACGCTCGACACCGGACGGCCTGTCTGGGCGGAGCCCACGCTGCCTCGCCCGTCTAGATGCCCTCATGCAGAGCAGGGAGCTGAGTCCACGCTGGGGGCATTCCAAGACCTGCCTCTCCTTGTCCCGTCTCGTGTCAGTGGAAATGAGTCCTTGTCCCCACAAATGCTCAGTTTTCTCACGGTGTTCACGAAGCTGCTGGTCTTATGGGGAACCCTCTCTGTGACGGGTCAGTTCTTGTTCGTGGTTCTTTGTCCGACATTCTGATTGTGATGTGTCTGAGTGCAGTTCTGAGTTTATCCCACCCAGAGTTACTGAGCTCCCTTGGCTGTTTCGATCCATTTAGGACGGTGACCCCTCCCTTAAACATTCCCTGAGTGTCAGAGCGCGTCTGTCTCGGGCGAGCAGCTTTATAGTCACCTCGAGCAAAACCGCCACCGTTCTAGCCTCGGGCTGGGAGGGGCCCACCACGAATACACAACAAAAGCCTCACGGGCCACAGAGCACACCACCACCGTTCTGAGTGCAGCTGCCAGTGTCATGGATGGTCTTACCGGAGGCCCGGAGTAAGGGGACCTCTCAATGTGGGGGGGAGATCCGGGGGAACAGGCTGCCCCGGGAGCCTCAGTGCTGGGAGGCCACTGGCTGTCACTGTTGCTGGAACGGGTCTTGGTCTTCACATAGCTTTTAGTTTGTTTGCGAACTGAGCTTTTACGCACATGATCCGAATCCTGCAGTGAGGGGGGAGTCAGGAACAACACCGAAGGGCTGGTGGGCAGTCACACCCACACTGCTCTCCACTCGCAGGGTGAATGAGCTTGAAACCCGTCCTGCACCCCCCACCCACCACACAGGTGCTCCCGGGGAAGCGCCCTGCACACCTGTTAGAGACTTGCTTGTCCCAGGTTAGCTGCCAGGATGCCCCCACACCAAGGAAGGGAAGGAAGAAGGGAAGTCCTCACCTCATTGCTCTCCAGAGAGGCTTCGCTGCTGAGTCCCTGGGCCCTGGCCAGGCCCTCCCTGCTGCTGCTCCAGACGGCCCCAGGCTGGGTGCAGGACGCATGCTCCTCTGACGCAGAACACAGGACGCTAACTACAGCTCCCGTTCTGGAGACTGGGGGGCTCCCCGAGCCTGCACCCACTGCTCAGCCACACGCCAACGCCACGTCCTCTCCTGTGTGGCGCTGCCCACCTGCCCAGCCACCCCCTCTACCGACAGGCAGGGCTCTTGTCTGTGTTCCCTGGTGAACCTTAAGCACCTGGAACGGCTGCTTGATGGTGGATGCATGTCCCTAGGACACATCCCGCAGGAAGGCTGTCAGGAAACCCCGTCTGTTTGGAAAGGCTCCCCCTAACCTTCATGGGGGCAGAGGACCAGGAGCCTCTCCTCTGCTCCACGCCAGATTCGCTGGTTCACGGGGCTCCTGCGACTCCCGTTTCTCCACCCCCAGCTGGACAGGAGGGCGGGCACACGGGAGCCCAGGATCGACCAGGCCCGGGGGGGCAGGCAGTGGCGTACCTCGACTGCTGCTGCTGCTGCTCTCCACATCCCGGTCGTTGATGGGCGAGGTGACGTCCCGGTGGCAGAGGCCCCCCCCTTCCAGGGGGTTCTCATCACTGCTGCTGAAGGTGACGTAGCCCCGGGGAGGTACCTGCTCTGTGTACAGAACGGGGCACGTGACCTACATGAACAAAAAACGAACACATTCCTCCTTCCAAACGCCACCACCTCTGCAGAGGGCTCTGGACAAGACAAGACCAGGATCAAGCGGGCAGGAAGGAAGCTCCCTGGCTGGCATGTCATCTGTTACCACAGTAACCTGGCCTTGCTGTTCTTTGCAGGTGACAGAGAAGCTCCAAGGGGTTCAGAGACCAGGTCATGTCTCATGACAAGGGCTGGGGGAGCCAGGACTGCAGAGGGACGAGCCCGGGCCCCCACTGCACCTGGCTGTCTCTTTTCCGATCGGGAGTAGCAGGAACGGCATGCTGCACTTACAGGGCTCTGAGCCGAAGACAGATGGCACCCCAGGGTATCTTTAGCTAAGCCCCCACACACACACGGACACACACATACGCCTGCCCACACACACAGCGCATGACAAATCTCTTTGTCCCTGAGACTGTTCTTACACTTGCTCTTTAGTATTTTATTACTGTTATTTTAATTTGTTATAAGGCACTTATGCTCACCAGAGATAATCACAGAGAGAGGGAGAGAGAGAAAGAGCAAGAGAAGGAAAATGAGAAAGCAAGCCATCAGGCCCAGGACTTGAACCACGGTCAGCCATGTGGGAGTCCAGTGCCTCAATCACCACACAGCTGGCCAGCCCCCATCCCTGAGACTTCAGCACCGGCATTTAGAGGGAGTCCTTCCCACTTCCACACAGGAAGGAAAAAGGCCCGGGCTAGGAGTGGGCAGCAGTGAGGCAGGCCCCCACACCCCGGGCGCCACTCACCCACACAGGCAAGCCAAGGCAGAGCATAAGCCTGCGGACGCTGTGGCTCCGGTTCCGCCCCTCCCCTGCCCGGCCCCACCCCACTCCAAAGCCAGCCTGTCTCTGCCCAAGACCAGCTGGCGGCCACGGGGCTTTCTTAGTTAACAGGTTTTTTTCTTTGTTCTTTTTTTAAAGAATTGTATTTTAGGGGACCAGCAGGTGGTGTGGTGGTAGAAATACTGGACACTCCCACACAGCAGACCATGGCTGGAGTCCCGGACCTGGCAGCTTGCTTTCTTACATTCCCTCGCTCACTCTCTCTCTCTCTGTCTCTCTCTGGTCAAATTAAAATAAGTGAATGAATGAACAAAACTAAATAGTTATTTTTTTAAATTATTTTTAAATCAAATTAATTTATTTATTTGACCAGAGAGAGACAGAGAGAAAGAGAAAGTGAGAAAGCAAGCCACCAGGTCTGGGACTCGAACTGTGGTTGGCCATGTGAGAGTCCAGCACCCTTAACCACCATGCCACCTGCCATCCCCATTAATGGAGATTTTTTTTTTACAGTCAGAGCAAGCTATTGATTATTCAAAGTTTTAAAAATGATCAGCATGGAGAATATATTCACGTATAGAAAATGTAAATTTCATAGGCAGGTGTAATTGGAGAGAATAAAAACAGCCCCTGAAGTGCCACAGCTGAGATCTATGCCGAGAGTGGCACACGAGGGCCACACACACTGGAACCTGGAATCACGAGTCTGCGTGTGCACTCGGCAGTCAGCCCCGCGGTGCCAAGGCCATGTGGGGGGGCGCCGGTTTCACGTCTGTGGCCTCCCCGCACACGGGACCTGCACCTGCTGCGATCCCAGCTGTCAGGGTGGGTGGTGGGTGGTCATGGGAGAAATGAGCACTAACGCATTGGCTGCACAGCTCCACAGATGGAAGTCACCACGCCGCCCCCAGGGACAAGCCCCCTTGCTCCCGCTCCCACCAGACCTCAGGCAGGGTAGCACCACAGATGCCTCGGAAGGAACAGATTGCCACTTGGAAGGACAGCAGTGGGCTCTGTGCAGCCCTGAACCCACAGCTAGGCAGCGGGAGAAAGGCCCGCCAGCTCCCCTCCCAGGACAACAGGGGAAGGGCCTCTGTAGTCCCAGCTGGGTGCCAGGGCTCCTAAAGACAAGAGTTTGAGCATCTCAGGACTTCTGGGTCTCAGAGGAAGTCGAGCTACTCCTGCGGCCTTGACTGAAATGATCTGCTCTGACTGGGAAGAGCTCTCCCAAGCCCAAGCTTCCGAGGGAGGCTTGCTCCTGAGGGCCAGCAGCACGGCCTGGCCATGGTGGTGACAGCCGTGGAAGGAAAACGCAGTCTTGCCCCAGTTTGATCACTAGGTAAGGGCAGAGCAAGAAGGCATGCACCGAACCCAGTTCTGCCCCAGCACACCCCACGGGCAAAGCCGTCCACACCCAGGGCTGACGACTGGGGAGTAACCTCGGGTCCAGAACTCGGAGCCCAGGACCGCAGCCCGCCAGCTGTGCCACCTCAGGAGGGTGTGAGCACGAAGCCCCTGCCTGAACAGAGAGCAGGCGGCACCTTCCCTTGGCCTCTGCCCTGAGGCCCACCCAACTCTACCCAGGTGGTGGGGGGCCCGGGGGAGCACATGTTCCCTGCACTCGGTGCCCCACCCACGTGATGCAGGAGGGCCAAGCTCCGCTAGTGTCTGCTGCAGGGGAGAACACGTGCTTCCTGGTGGGAACGATGGAGAGGGCAAGCAGGAGCTGGACGAACGAGCCAGCACCTGCTGTCCCCCTCCTGACTGTAAGAGGCCGCCCACCCTCCCAGTGAGGCCCGGGGCCGGGGCCCACGTCCCAGGAGCCCAGGGTTTTTCCTCTTTAAGACAGGGTCTGGGGCTGTGGCAGCACGAAGCCCCCAGGAAGCGTGCAGGCTCACCGTGGCCAGGCTGTGCGGCCTTGCCTCCCAGGCCGATGGCTGTGATCCTGGCCAGGGCTTGCGGCCCCTCGTGGATGCTCAAGCCCTTCTTCCGACAGGGCCTCTGTCTCTGAGGAACAGGGCAGGATTCATCCGAAGAGCTTAGGTCTTCGTATTTTTCTGCGGGTCAAAGACCAAAATCAACACAACCTGTTCCGTAACAGACTGATTTACCTACCAGCACAGCGGAGGGGTGAGAGAACCACAGCTGGTTTTCTTTCTCTCTCCTTTTTTTAAAAAAATTATTTATTTATTTAATTGCATTTATTATTATTTTTCAACTTGACCAGACAGAGGCAGAAAGAGAAAGGGAGAAAGCATGCCACTAGGTCCGGGACATGAATCACAGTCAGGAATCCAGCGCCTTCAATGACCACACCACCTGGTGTGTCTGCCAGAATGTCTCCTAGGAGAGACGCTGTGAAGGAATCGTGCACTGTTCAGTGGGCCTCAGGGAACCGACAGTAATGAGGGCAGAGGTGAATACTCACTCCTCTCTGGGTTTCCAAAATTTGCCACAATAAACCTGTTCTGTTTATAATCAGAAATAAATTTTGTCCTAAATTAAAAGGATAAGTAAAATTTGGAGCCAGCAGGTGGTATGGGGGTTAAGGCTCTGGATTCCACATGGCTGACTGAGCAGTTGAGTCCCTAACCTGACAACTTGAAAAACCCTCCTGATGTGTGTGCATTTGTGCTCCAAATCCTGGGAGGAGAATGGAGGAGAAGGGGCTGCAGTTTAGCCATCTCCCCAGGGACTAAATTTTTTTTTTGGAGAGGTTTTTGCTATAGGGTGTGTGCGTTCGCCAGAGAGAGAGAGACAGAGAGACAGAAAGTGAGAAATCACACCCCAGGGGGAATGGCCATGCTGCAATCCCTTCTCCTCCATTCTCCTCTTGGGATCTTGGGCACGCATGCTCACGCGCCCGGCATGAGTTTTAAGCCACCGGGTCTGGGATGCGAACCGCAGTCGACTACATGGGAGTCCAGCAACATAGCCATTATGCTAACTGCTGGTTCCCCCTTCCCCAAGGACTATTTTGAGGCCTGGATCCAGCGGCTTAAAACTCATGCCAGGCACATGTGTATGCGTGCCCCAAATCCCAAGAGAATGAAGAAGGGATTGCGACAAGACTATCCCCTTAGAGGGTGATTTCTCACTTTCTGTCTCTCTATGTCTCTTTGGCAAACACACGCACCCTATAGCAAAAAAATCTCTCTAAAAGTAAGTAAATAAATAAAATGGTACTAGGACAATTGTCTGACCATGTGGAAAGAGAGAAAATTGGATCCATACCTCACACCGTATGACAGAATAAAGTGTAAGTAGATCAGGGATCTAAACGTAGAAAATGAAACCATATAAGTACTAGAAAAAACATGGGTGCAAGACTACCAGATAGCGTAATGGCTACATCCCTGGACTCCCATGTGGTTGACCGTGGTTCGAGTCCCAGACCCAGTGGCTTAAACTCACACTGGGCATGTGTGCGTGTGTGCCCAAGATCCTGAGAGGAGAATGGAGGAGAAGAGACTGTGGTGTGGCCATCCCCCTGGGGGGTGATTTCTCGCTTTCTGTCTCTGTCTCTTTCTGGCGAGCGCACGCGCCCTATAGCAAAATCCTCTCCAAAAAAAAGAAAAGAACACATGGATGATTCTTACACAACTGAGGCCTAGGGAAGGATTTTCTGACTCAAAATCCAGAGGTAGTGAAGGTGCATAAATGTGACCACCTACCGTGGTACAAATGGCAACAAACAACTCAGCGGACCCTTCTGAGAGGCCTCCCTCCTACCCAGCTCCGCCCCTACTGCTTTTGTGTACCTCCCTCCTGTCACCGCGTCTCTCCCCAGCGAAGCTGAGGGCCCTCGACCCTGACGACACAGTGGAGTTCGCAGGCAGAGGCAGAGAAAGTCTCCCGGCAGATGCCAGAGCCACCTCTCAGATGAGCAGGAGGTAGCCAGGGCTAAGCGTTCCTCCCCATCTTTCTTTCTGGGATGTCCCAGCGCTCAGTGCAACCCACAGCTCATCAGTCACAGGTGACAGGTGCAGGTACCTGGGCTCCGGTAGAGGCCCTTGGGCAGCGAGGGCGAGTGAGTGTCCATCAGGGCCACGATCTTCATGTGTCCGTACTGCCTGGCCAGCATCCGAGCTGTGGCTCCACTGTGGTCCCTCATGTCCACTTTGACGCCCTGTGGATGTCCATATCAGAAGAATTAGCAATTTCCCTCTAGGGCACTCACACTGCCTGGGCTGCTGGCCCAGGGTGAGCTCGGGCGGGCGCTCATGGGGAAGGAGCATGGCATCCAAGTGACAGAGGGACGTAGGCTCGCCTGGCTCATGGCTACCAGTTTTGCTCTCTTCTAAGGGCAAGGCTAAGGGGGTGGGTGCTGGGAGGGGCTTCACGCCACGTCCCAAGAGCTGCGTGCAGCTGCAGCCACACTTGGCCTTCCAAGTGCTGACCACCAGGTCCACGGTCTCCCTTGCAGACATGGAGTGGACAAGGGCTTAGTGTCAGGGGCCGGGGGCTGGTGGCCACTGTGCCCAGACCAGCTTTGCCCTCTGCACCTGGGCTGTGGCCCACTCGCTTCTCTTCGTGGAGAAAACAGCAGACGACGGTTCACTACGTAAACCACAACCAGAATGCGAGCCCAGGCCTCTGAAACAGAATTGAGTCACTTTTATCGAAAGCTCCAAACGTACTCTCAGTCTCTGCACGATTCCACTTCCGTGACACGACCCTGAGGAGACAGCCCTAGATACCCAGAAGGCTCTTGTGTGCAAACGCTTAGCACAACGATGTGCAGTAACGAAAACCCCGAGGCAGGGCCGGAGGGTCCTATCTTACCGCCCTAAAAGCTGACGTTTACTAGTAGTTGGTGTGATCAAGTTTAAAAAGGGTCCTCAGACAAACTACTGCACGCGCTGCTGCCGATGCGGTGCTCTGAGAAACACACCATTGGCAACTTCACCATGCCGACCACGCCCAGCGCACGGCACAGACCCGCACGGCCCACGTGCTCCTCACAGGACCACCGCTGCCCCGCCGTGCGTGGACTGTCACTACGTGACACATGACTGTATATATTCAGTACGACTGCCACAAGACGAGGCAAAGCAAGCAAAGTCCACGGCAGACGATGCTGGCAGGAACATGCCCTGGAAATTTTTTTTTTTTGGAGAGGTTTTTTCTTTTCTTTTTTGGTTTTTTGCTATAGGGCGTGTGCGCTCGCCAGACAGACAGAGAGAGACAGAGAGACAGATAACGAGAAATCACCCCTCAGAGGGGATGGCCACGCTGCAATCCCTTCTTCTCCATTCTCCTCTCGGGATCTTGGGCACGCACGCACACGCAACAGGCGTGAGGTTTAACCACCGGGACCGGGACTCAAACCACGGTCGACTACATGGGAGTCCAGTGACATAGCCATTACGCTAACTGCTGGTCCCAGAAGTATTATTTTTAAGCAATAACGTAATGAGGACTTTTCCCATCTTTCCAGTCTTCTCTATTTTCTTTCTTTTTAGAGAGATTTTTGTTATAGGTTGCGTGTGCTCATTGTAGAGACAGAGAGACAGATAACGAGAAATCACCCCTCAGAGGGGATGGCCACGCTGCAATCCCTTCTTCTCCATTCTCCTCTCGGATATTGGGCACGCACGCACATGCGCCTGGTGTGACTCTTAAGCAACCTGGTCTGGGACTCGAACTGCGGTCAACTATGTGGGAGTCCAGTGATGTAACCATCATGCCATCTGCTGGTCCCAGAAACCTAAATTTCTACCAAGAAGGAACTGACTGAAATAATTTTTTTAAAAGAATTATTCATTTATTGGGAACCAGCAGTTAGCGTAATGGCTATGTCGCTGGACTCCCACGTAGTCGACCGCAGTTCACATCCTGGACCCAGTGGCTTAAAACTCACGCCGGGTGTGTATGTGGGCGTGCCCAAGATCCCGAGAGGAGAATGGAGGAGAAGGAATTTCAGCGTGACCATCCCCCCTGGGGGGTGATATCTTGCTTTCTGTCTCTCTGTCTCTCTCTGTCTGTCTGGCAAGTGCACGTGCCCTATAGCGAAAATCTCTCCAAAAAAAAAAAAAAGAAAGAAAAAGAATTATTCATTTATTCATCCACTTATTTTAATTTGATCAAAGAGAGACACACACAGGGAGAGAGGGAAAATGAGAAAGCAAGCCACCAGGTCCGAGACTTGAACTGTGGTTGGCCATGTGGGAGTCCAGCACCTTAACCACCATGGCACCTGCTGGCCCCCTGACCAAATTCATTATGGCACAGATAATATACAGAATACTGTGCAAAAATGTCTATGGTATATTAAGTGATTTTTTTTTAAGATACAGAACAAGTTCATTGAGAATCCCATTTTTGTTCAAAACAAAAAGCAGTGTGCTCACAGTTACCTAGACACACCTTGACACAGCAGAGGCAGGTCCTAGGTGGCTCCTTATCAAACCGACTGGGCGTCTCGGGGAGCAACAGGCGGTTGAAAAGCAAGGGGCGAGCTCTGCCTGCCTGTCCTGTCTGACTTTCCAGGGATGCGGTAACGTGTGTACCTCCTTGTCCAGTACCTTTCTCATACGTCCCGAGAAATGGTACTTTCAGCACAATCACAGGAGCAGGGGTCCATCTAAATTTCCCACTGTGCCCCAATGTCCAAGTACGCCCAAAGGTGGGCATCGGTACGTTCCGGATGAAAACGGACTGACTACGTGAACTAACAGCAGTTACTTCCGTGTGAAAGAAAACTCTCTTACAGTTACTCCTTCAGTGACAAGACCCCTCACCTGGGACGACTGTAAGCTCACAGACAGGGCCACTCACGTGATTCAGAAAGCACTGCACAATGATCTCGTGGCCGGCCACAGCCGCTTCCATCAGAGGCGTAAATCCATACAGCGGCTCCCTGCGGGATGGGCCACGGATTAGTGGAGAAGCCTGCAGGCAGACGCTCCCCTGCGGAAGACACAGCCAGGCCCAAGCACGAGTCATCTGCCTCTAAACATGGCCTCTCCCGCCCCCTCCTACGTAAGGACATGCAGGGCGAGATGAGAGGTTCTAACACTCCAACTTTCCAGCTCTTCTGGGGTCTATCCCAGCACTGACGTTTTGGCCTTGTGACAAATCTGCCCTGCCTTCCCTCTTTCTAGGCTGTTCTCCCTGGCTACCTCCTCAATCTCCACTTGATCAGGCTCAAAATGCAGACACTGACCCAGCCACAGAGGCGCAGGCAGTAAGGTACCACGCACGAAGCTGGAGCCACGTGGGCAGAGCTGCAGCTCAGGTTAGCCTGGGCGCGAGACGCTGGCTGGCGGGGGGACTAGCAGGGGTGTGGTAGGTGTGCCCCACCCCCATGAAGGAGAGAAGAAAACTTCATAACAGAAACCAAAGCAGCCCCTGTCTTCATTCCTCACCTGCTTTCCACTGATCCAGGGCATGTCCTTCCAGGGGACAACCTCCAAGTCCCCTCCCTGACCTGTCCTTCCCACACTGAGCCCCTGGAGCTGGTATCCGGTGCTCATAGAGTGCCAGCTCAGCACTGCCTTGTGCTCCCCAGTCCTCGTCCTGGGGAACCAGCTAGACATGGCTGCCGTCCACTCTGCGGCCGGGCCTCACACCTGAGCCCCTCTGAGGTCGGAGCGGGTCTTAACCACAGGCAGCTGCACCGTTAGCAGCGCTCTCACCCCCTCAGGGCCCGCACAGCCAGGGGCTGTGGACACCAGACGGGCTTGGGCAGCAATCCCACGTCCAGCTTGCTGTGCGCAGCTGCTGCCGGAGCACCGCCTCACCAGACCTACAGGCTCAGCAGGGTAGAGACCGGAATCGGCGCCTAGCTGCCATTCCCACGCCATTCACCACGCCAGCCCCTGGCCCTGGTCAGATACGTGGCTCTGCTAACCACTCTATGACACAGCCACCGCCATCCCGTTTTCAGACAAGGAAAGCAAGACTTAGATCCCCACGTCACCCACGGACGCAGCCAGGCGCACGCTGGCGGGGCCTTTGCACTCGGCGCTCTCCCCTCAAACGCAGGCAGGCTGCCCCTGAATCAGCTGAGCCCCATGGCCCCTGTGGCCACTCGGGTGCGGTAATCACCTCGCGTTGGCATCAGCACCGCTGTCCAGGAGGAACCTGACCATCTGCTGGTGGCCGGCACTGGTGCAGTGGAAGAGGGCCGTCCAGCCGTGGAGGTCCCGCATCTCCAGCTCGGCGCCTTGCTTCAAGAGAACACAGAACGCGTCAGGCTCATGGGTGAGTTAGCATGGCTCGAGCACAGGCCAAGCTGCGGTGGTTCTCTCTCAGGGCACAGAGTGCGGGAGCCCCCAGGCCGCTGGCCTGAGTCCCCGCGTAGCTCACCTGGAGGAGAAAGTAGGCGATGCTCTCGTTGCCGCAGCTGGAGGCCAGCATCAGGGGGGTCTGCCCTTCTGGGGTTGGCACGTTCACGCTCACCCCCGCCTCGAGCAGCAGGTGCACGATGGTGTCGTGTCCAATGTAGGAGGCGTACATCAGCGGGGTCCAGCCACCCCCATTCTTCTTATTCAAATCGAGCTCTCTGCTAAACAAGCACGAGACATACCAGGCATGCCCAGTGCCCTGCACGGGTGTACAAGCAGACGGAAACCTGGGCAGGGCCGGGGCAGGAAGAGCTACTGGTACTCAGCAGGGGCAGGCCAGGGAGGCTGCACAACTTCCCGCAGTCCGGGCAGCCTTCCCGCCAAGCTTCACCTGGCCCAGACGTCAGCAGCCAGGCTGAGAAGCACCTCCCAAGTTCTGACCACCTGCACCCAACGACCCAGCCGGCCAGTCCAGTGCTGGGTGGAGAAGGGTGATGGGAAAGAGGCAGGGGCTTGGACAGCGGGCAAGTCCTGCTGGAGTCATTTCTCTGTCATCACCACACTCTGTAAAGATACTCTTGAAAAATCTTGGGACCAGCAGTTGGCATAATGGCTATGTTGCTGGACTCCCATGTAGCTGACCACAGTTCGAGTCCCGGACCTGGTAACTTAAACTCACGCCGGTCGCGTGTGTATGTGTGCCCAAGATCCCGCAAGGAGAATGGAAAAGGGATTGCAGCATGGCCACCCCTCCTGGGAGGTGATCTCTCACTTTCTGTCTCTCTGTCTCTCTCTTTCTGGTAAGCGCACACTCCCTATTGCAAAAACCTCTCCAAAAAAAAAAAAAAAAAGAGAGAGAGAGAGAGAGAGCGAGACAGAAAACTA